AACCTTAATTTACAGAGAAGTAAAGAAACATACTAAGAAATTTGCTCAAACACATGGCCTATGAGTTCTTGATTAAATTTGGGTATTTCAATTGTCCTTTTGGGATTTAAGTTTTCTTGTGAAATATGACTATTTTATATGTTACAAGTTTTAATAAGAATTGAATTGATCTTGCTTGTGCTTTTAAAAGGTCACTATATGTTGTGTGGAGAATAGATTTCAGGGGATCCAGGTAAAGTAAAAAGACAGTTAAAAGAGCACTGCAGTAATCCAAAAAAGATAAGATTGTGTTTGGACCAGGATAATGGCAATAAAGATGATGACAATTGAGTGGATTCTGGATATATTTTTACTTTTTTTCACCTAAGCACCTGGGAGAACAGAATATCCTTAAAAAAAAAAAAAATGGGAAGGACTATAAGAAGTAAATTTCCTGAAAAGGGTGAAATGGTAGTGGTGGTTAACACCAGGAATTCAGTTTTGGACTTGCTAAATTTCCTTTATAGATGTCAAGTAGGCAGGTAGGTATATGGGTTAGAGTTATGTATTATGGATTCATTTTCACATAATGGCATTTAAGTCATAGCATTGAATGAGTTCGTTAGGCTATGAATATAGAAAGAAAAGAGAAGTTTAATGATGAAGGCTACAGAAAAACTAAGAGGAAAACCAGGTAAAGGGAGTGTCCCACAATCCAAGTTAAAAAAAGAAAAAAGAAGGAACAGCTAGATCAAATGCTGCTAATAAGTAAGATAAGAATATTGAAATGATTATTTGCTTTAGCGTTGAGGGTAGGTATGGGGAGGTTTACTGTGAATGAGAGCTTTTCTTTTGGTTTCTTCCAGAAGGAATAGGTAAGACAGTATAAACAGGATTGGCTATTTTGAATAATTTTAGTTGTTTTTGAGGCATAGAGGCTATCTATTGGGCTGGCACTTGACAGTGGAATGATTGGAACAAGTATTGGGGTCCAGAATGTGGGATTTCAAAAGAGGTTGTCAGGAGTGTGGACTTGCGGTTGATCGATATGTATTTGAAAAATCCCCTCCTAAGAGGAGGACTTCTGGGGCTGGGAGATATGAGTGAGGCAGGAAACCAAGGAACAGTGTAACTTAGGCATATTTCCATATTGTCCAGAACAAGCTATGTCTGACATGTAGGGCACATTTTTAAACATCAGATTTATAGAAGCTATAAACATGGTTAATACAGAGGTGCAAGGTTAAAGTAAGAGCATGATTGGAATTCACCATGGTTTTGGTTTTACCAGCAAGTGTTATGACATAAAAGAAGGGAAAAGGGGATGAGAATGTAAGAAAGGAATGATTATAATAATTAACTATCAACTATGATAACTTTTAAGATCAAGAGAGAAGAGGTACATAAGAGAAAAGCATGGTAGCATCTGGACTTAAAGATCATAATAGAGTGGAAGGATTGTTGATGTTGTGGTTTAAGAGAGTGTTTAAACTGAAAAAATAGGAAGTAAGCATTGACCTTTCTAAAGACAAGGTCAAGCATATTGATCATCAGGGTAAGTGGTTGAAGTAGCAATATAACATCATTTATGTAAGTTTTCTAATAAGCTACGGTAGTAGAAGGATTAGCTTTATGGATATTGAAATACTCAATAATTATGGCAGGGATAATATTGGAGAGAGAGCACCCATGGAAGAAGAGAGACAGAAGTGATGGTATTAGAATATAGATGGCCATTGAAACCAGGTTTGGTGTATATAATGAGAAAATAGATTGCTGAGGTTCAAGCCTGTTGTAATATATGAAGGAGGAGTTTATTAAAGGAAAAATAGAACATGAGGACTGGATTTTGCATCTTTTATATATTTATTTATCTATGTATCTATTTGTCTATTTATTTTGGTAGTTGGGCACAATAATTTTATTTTCTTTCTTTGTTTTTATGTAGTGTTGGGGATTGAAACTAGTGCCTCACATGTGCCAGGCAAGCGCCTCTACCACTGAGCTACGACTCCAGCCCTGAGGACTGGACTTTGTAAAAAGGACCTTAGGGCAAAAACTTAAGGAGAAAGAAAAATAAGAGACTTGACGGTAGCAACAAAGGAATGATTCTACTGATGTATTGTGGATTTTTGAATTAGCTATAAATGAAGAGAAATCTAAAAGATTAATTAGTAGAAAATGGAAGATCAGAGGTCTCAAGGAGGTTAAAGAATAAGAAACTGGTGTCATAGAAACCAATTTGAGAAGTCAATTTTTCATAAAGGGAAATAGTCAACTGTCAGATGCTACAAAGGTGAAGAGTGCCTTGAATTCAACAATTTGAAGGAATGGATGATATTAATGAAAAATCGGAACTAGATAAGAGAAGCAAAAAAAGTAGACAGGGTGGGACATGAAGCTCAGTGGTAAAGTACTTGCTCAGGATGCATGCAGCCCTAGATTTGATCCCCAGCATCTTCCGCAGTCTGGCTGGGCACAAAATCACGAGCCACTCAAGCAGGAACAAAGTTTATTTTTTTTTTAATTTTTTATTGTTGGCTGTTCAAAACGAAGTTTATTTTTTGAAACTGCTGCCAATGTCCGGTACCGCCCGGGAAGATTTTTTCCACACACGCCGCCTCCTCTCGGACCACCGAGAGAGCTCCTCCCCCGGAACTCCCTCCTACTGTACTTCCCCAACCAATGGGAACTCTCCAGGAGTCCTGTAGCCGGCCTAGGTGAACAGCAGGAGTCCAATATCCATATGAATGCAAATCTTAACATAATCATATCATCTCAATGGCTAGCTGGCGTCACCTTTCGACCAAAAATGCCATGCATCATATACTTGGCTCTTAGCAAGCATCACAGAAAAAAAAGAAAAAGAGACAGTATTATTGACTAATATTTTAGAAAACTGAACTGTGAAAGGGAGAAGAGATGTATTAATAGGTAGAGGAAGGCATAGCTAAAGAAAAGATGAGATGATTGAAGCATGTTCATGGGGAAATAATATGATTAAAAGACTTGGGATTACTCATGAAGAAGAGTTCCTTAGAAGAGACACATTTCAAAACATAGATAAAATATTAGAAATATTAGTCTTATAGAATATCAACTCTTATTGAATGAGGAAAAAAGATAAGAATATATTGATGAGTTTGCAGGAAGCAGAATTTTAAGCAGGTAGAGAAAAGATATGAAGGAATTTTTACATAATTGAAACCCTTTTATTTGTATTGTCAGGATAGTATAGTCCTTTAGAAACGAAATAGGGTAGGATACTTGAACATGTTTGAAATAGTGTGCAAATGGAATTCATCTTCACATTAATTTAAAAAGTATGTATTTAGCGCCTATGATATATGAGGCCCTAGGCTGTGTGCTAGGAACATAGCAATGAGTATGACAGTTTCTACCGTAAATGTGCCTACATTCTAAGAAGAGTGGAAAACAAGAAACAAAATGTCAAATAGTGATAACAATGCTGTGAAGAAAATAAATATGAAAACTGGATTGATAATTGTCATTTAAAGATATTTTATTCTTGTTTTATCTTTTATGATTAAACAATTAAAAGTATTATTAAAATGTTTTCTTTGGCAGAATATTTCCTTTTTATAAGCTAAGGGAAGATGATCCTCATTTTATAGAAAACTATAGTACAGAATACTAGAATGAATAGAAAGTAGGTTCTGTTTTTAGGAATTTACAGAGTAAATCCTGCCGCAGTCTGGCTGGGCACAATTCAGGAGCCACTTGTCAAAAGAAACGAACTTTATTTTTAGAACCACACACACCAAACAAAACAGCTCCTCAGGAAAAACCTTCAGAGCCCAACTGCCACCACTGGCTTCCCACAAGCCTCTCAACCTCCCCCACTCCTCCTGCTGTTGAGGCTGATTGGCTGGGTTGTGTGGGCGGAGCCAAAAAAGTCCCCCAATGAGCAGCTCTGTGGTCTGAAAGGGCGGGGAAACAGCCCAATGAGCATCACTGCTGAGGAGCCAATCAGTTGGCAGCTAGAAGTTTGCTGGGGCCGCTGTGAGCCAATCATCAACTGGCAGCTGGAAGTTTGCTGGCAGCTGGAAGTTTGCTGGGGCCCCTTCGGCTGTGGCTCTCAACAAAATCCAAAAGTAAAATTCTTTCTTTCAGACACAAATATTTAGATTATAACTTTTCTTATTAAAAATCATACATTATTTGGGGCTGGGGGCTCAGCGGTAGAGTACTTGCCTAGCATATGTGAGACACTGGGTTTGATCCTCAGCATCACATAAAAATAGATAAAGGTATTGTGTCCAACTAGAACTAAAAAAATTTTTCAAAAAATCATTATTTGTTCAGATGGGAACATGATATTCTTTCCTGTTTAAACCTGCCTGTGTAACTCCAGAGTGTTTGTGCTTCCTGGGTGCCAGACACTTCTTAACCATAATACCAAAGTTAATTCATTTACTCATAAGAAACTGTGAGTTAGATATTATTATAATCCCTGTTTTATAAGTAAGAATATAAGACTCACAAAAGTCAGTACAGCCTTTGAATCTTACATCCTGTGTCAAATCTCAACTCTTGTAAGAATTTTTTCCCTATTTAAGCCTCTGTGATTTTACATAAACTGTTAATAGAGCACTTGGTTGCATGCCTATAATCCTAGCAATTTGGGAGGTTGAGGCATAAGAATGTTAAGTTGGAGGCCAGCTTCAGGAATTTACTAAGACTCTGTCTCAAAATTAAAATAAATGGACTAGGGATCTACTCAGTAATAAAGTACCCCCAGGGTTCCACCCTTGCACACACACACCTCCCAAAAAAAGTTAATAGCAACTTTTTAGAGTTATTGTGAGGATAAAAGTCACATAGTGTATATCAACTCTCTAGAACTATGCTTATGCAAAATAATCTCTCAAGCAGTTATTTATTTCATGTTATATGGTTAGATTATTCATGTTTATAAATAAAAGTGTACCTTTTTTGTTTGTATTGATTTTTCTTTTCAATCATGGATCCTTGTATTGTATTGTTTTTTCCTGATACAGGAATAATGCCTCACTATTACCAAGGAAGTCTATTAGCTTTAATGCCACAAGAAAAGCTCCAAACAAAGGATATATTGGTGCAAATCAAAGCAAATTGACTGTATCAAGAAACTTACTTATTCCACCTGAAATGAGATCAATAGAAAAATTGAATATTCCCAACATTAAGACAATACAGGTAATATTCTTTAGAATTCTGAGTTTATTTTAAAATGACATCATGTAAAACTATTGGAATTTTAGAATAATCAACTGATCACTTCAAATATTGAAATATTGATTTGATTAAAATTTTTACTCCGTAATATTCCTTACAGTATAATAGTAGCAAATGGCTCCTGTAACTCACTATGAATAATAGGAATATTGTAGTAGAATAAGGAAAGTCTACTTAGGACATTAAGAATTATCTGTTGTTAATGATAGCTAATATACTACTGTCATCTACTCTCCTCAGCAATGTAGTCTTTTTTTTTTTTTTTTATTGGTTGTTCAAAACATTACAAAGCTCATGATATATCATCTTTCATACATTTGACTCAAGTGGGTTATGAACTCCCATTTTTACCCCAAATACAAATTGCAGAATCACATTGGTTACACACTCACATTTTTACATAATGGCATATTAGTGACTGTTGTATTCTGCTACCTTTCCTATCCCCTACTATCCCCCCTCCCCTCCCCTCCCGTCTTCCCTCTCTACCTCATCTGCTGTTGTTCAATTCTCTCCCTGGTTCCCCCCCCCCCCCTTTCCCCTTACAACCTCTTATGTGTAATTTTGTGTAACATTGAAGGTCTCCTACCATTTCCATATGATTTCCCTTCTCTCTCCCTTTCTCTCCCCCCACTCAACTCTGTTTAATGTTAATCTTTTCCTCATGCTCTTCCTCTCTGTTCTGTTCTTAGTTGCTCTCTTTATATCAAAGAAGACATTTGGCATTTGTTTTTTAAGGATTGGCTAGCTTCGCTTAGCATAATCTGCTCTAATACCATCCATTTCCCTGCAAATTCCATGATTTTGTCATTTTTTAGTGCTGCGTAATACTCCATTGTGTATAAATGCCACATTTTTTTTTATCCATTCATCTATTGAAGGGCATCTAGGTTGGTTCCACAGTCTAGCTATTGTGAATTGTGCCGCTATGATCATTGATGTGGCAGTATCCCTATAGTACGCTCTTTTAAGATCCTTAGGGAATAGTCCGAGAAGGGCGATAGCTGGGTCAAATGGTGGATCCATTCCCAGCTTTCCCAGGAATCTCCATACTGCTTTCCAAATTGGCCTCACCAATTTGCAGTCCCACCAGCAATGTACAATTGTACCCTTTTCCCCACATCCTCGCCAACACTTATTGTTGTTTGACTTCACAATGGCTGCCAATCTTACTGGAGTGAGATGGTATCTTAGGGTGGTTTTGATTTGCATTTCTCTGACTGCTAGAGATGGTGAGCATTTTTTCATGTACTTATTGATTGATTGTATGTCCTCCTCTGAGAAGTGTCTGTTCAGGTCCTTGGCCCATTTGTTGATTGGGTTATTTGTTATCTTATTGTTTAATTTTTTGAGTTCTTTGCATATTCTGGATATTAGGGCTCTATCTGACGTGTGAGGGGTAAAAATTTGTTCCCAGGATGTAGGCTCTCTATTTACCTCTCTTATTGTTTCTCTTGCTGAGAAAAAACTTTTTAGTTTAAGTAGGTCCCATTTGTTTATTCTTGTTATTAACTCTTGGGCTATGGGCGTCCTATTAAGGAATTTGGAGCCCGACCCCACAGTATGTAGATCGTAGCCAACTTTTTCTTCTATCAGACGCAGTGTCTCTGATTTGATATCTAGCTCCTTGATCCATTTTGAGTTAACTTTTGTGCATGGCGAGAGAAAGGGATTCAGTTTCATTTTGTTGCATATGGATTTCCAATTTTCCCAGCACCATTTGTTGAAGATGCTATCCTTCCTCCATTGCATGCTTTTAGCCCCTTTATCAAATATAAGAAAGTTGTAATTTTGTGGATTGGTCTCTGTGTTTTCTATTCTGTACCATTGGTCCACCTGCCTGTTTTGGTACCAGTACCATGCTGTTTTTGTTACTATTGCTCTGTAGTACGGTTTGAGATCTGGTATCGCTATACCTCCAGATTCACACTTCCTGCTTAGAATTGCTTTTGCAATTCTGGGTCTTTTGTTTTTCCATATGAATTTCATGATTGCTTTATCTATTTCTACAAGAAATGCTGTTGGGATTTTGATTGGCATCGCATTAAACCTGTAGAGAACTTTGGGTAATATCACCATTTTGATGATGTTAGTTCTGCCTATCCATGAACAGGGTACATTTTTCCATCTTCTAAGATCTTCTTCTCTCTCTCTCTTTAGGGTTCTGTAGTTTTCATTGTATAAATCTTTCACCTCTTTTGTTAGGTTGATTCCCAAGTATCTTATTTTCTTTGAGGATATGGTGAATGGAGTGGTTTTCCTCATTTCTATTTCAGAAGTTTTGTTGCTGATATACAGGAATGCCTTTGATTGATGCGTGTTGATTTTATATCCTGCCACTTTGCTGAATTCATTTATTAACTCTAGAAGTTTCTTTGTAGACCCTTTTGGGTCTGTTAAATATATTATCATGTCATCCGCAAATAGCGATAATTTAAGTTCTTCTTTATCTATTTTTATGCCTTTAGTTTATTTTGTCTGTCTAATTGCTCTGGCTAGTATTTCAAGAACTAAATTGAATAGAAGTGGTGATAGAGGGCATCCCTGTCTTGTTCCAGATTTTAGAGGGAATGCCTTCAGTTTTTCTCCATTTAGGATGATGCTAGCCTGAGGTTTAGCATATAGCTTTTACAATGTTGAGGTAAGTTCCTGTTATCCCTAGTTTTTCTAGTGTTTTGAACATAAAGGGATGCTGTACTTTGTCGAATGCTTTTTCTGCATCTATCGAGATGATCATATGGTTCTTATCTTTAAGTCTATTGATGTGGTGAATAGCATTTATTGATTTCCGTATATTGAACCAGCCTTGCATCCCAGGGATGAATCCTACTTGATCATGGTGCACAATTTTTTTGATATGCTTTTGTATTCGATTCGCCAGGATTTTATTGAGAATTTTTGCATCCAAGTTCATTAGAGATATTGGTCTGTAGTTTTCTTTCTTTGAAGTGTCTTTGTCTGGTTTCAGGATCAGGGTGATGTTGGCCTCATAGAATGAATTTGGAAGATCTCCTTCTTTTTCTATTTCTTGAAATAGCTTGAAAAGTATTGGTATTAATTCTTCTTTGAAGGTTTTGTAAAACTCCGCTGTATACCCATCCGGTCCAGGGCTTTTCTTGGTTGGTAGTCTTTTGATGGCTTCTTCTATTTCTTCCTTTGTTATTGGTCTGTTTAAATTGTGTATGTCTTCCTGACTCAATCTGGGCAGATCGTATGACTTAAGAAATTTATCGATATCTTCACTATCTTCTATTTTATTGGAATATAGGGTTTCAAAATACTTTTCTAATTATCTTCTGTATTTCTGTAGTGTCTGTTGTGATATTCCCTTTTTCATCCCGTAAGTTAGTAATTTCAGTTCTCTCTCTTCTTCTCTTCGTTAGCATGGCTAAGGGCCTGTCGATCTTATTTATTTTTTCAAAGAACCAACTTTTAGTTTTATCAATTTTTTCAATGGTTTTTTGTTTTGTTTCAATTTCGTTGATTTCTGCTCTGATTTTAATTATTTCTTGTCTTCTACTACATTTGCTGTTGTTTTGCTCTTCCTTTTCTAGGTTTTTGAGGGGTAGTGTGAGTTCATTTATTTGTTGGTTTTTTCTTTTTTTTAGGAAAGAACTCCAAGAAATGAATTTCCCTCTTAAAACTGCTTTCATTGTGTCCCATAGATTTCGGTATGTTGTGTCTGTATTGTCATTTGTCTCTAAGAATTTTTTTATCTCCTCCTTTATGTCTTCTGTAACCCATTGATCATTCAGTAACATATTGTTCATTTTCCATGTGATGTAGGATTTTTCCTTCCTTCTTTTATCATTGATTTCCAGTTTCATTCCATTATGTTCAGATATGGTACATGGTATTATCTCCACACCTTTATATTTACTAAGATTTGCCCTATGGCATAATATATGGTCTATCTTTGAGTAGGATGCATGTGCTGCTGAGTAGAACGTGTATCCACTTGATGAAGGTTGATATATTCTATATATGTCAGTTAAGTCTAGGTTATTGATTGTGCTATTGAGTTCTGTAGTTTCTTTATTCAGCTTTTGTCTAGAGGATCTGTCTAATGGCGAGAGCGGTGTGTTGAAGTCACCCATAATTATTGTGTTGTAGTCTATTTGACTCTTGAACTTGAGGAGAGTTTGTTTTATGAACGTTGCAGCACCATTGTTTGGTGCATACAAATTGATAATTGTTATGTCTTGTTGGTGGATGGTTCCTTTTAACAGTATATAGTGTCCTTCTTTATCCCTTTTGATTAACTTGGTTTGAAGTTGATTTTATTCGATATGAGTATGGCCACTCCTGCTTGCTTCCGAGGGCCATATGAGTGGTATGATTTTTCCCAACCTTTTACCTTCAGCCTGTGTATGTCTCTTCCTATCATATGAGTCTCCTGAAGGCAGCATATTGTTTGGATTTGTTTTTTTGATCCAGGTTACTAGCCTATGTCTCTTGATTGGTGAATTTAGGCCATTAACATTTAAGGTTACAATTGAAATACGGTTTGTACTTCCAGTCATGTTTGTTTATTTATTTATTTTAGTTTGGCTAGTTTTTACTTTTTGGTTATTTTCCTCCCCCTTTACTGAGATACCTCCCGCTGTTAGTTTTGGGCACTATTTTTCAATTCCTCTTCTTATAGTATTTTGCTCAAAATGCTTTGCAGTGCTGGTTTTCTGGCTGCGAATTCTTTTAGCTTTTGTTTATTGTGAAAGATTTTAATTTCATTGTCAAATCTGAAGCTTAATTTTGCTGGATACAGTATTCTTGGTCGGAATCCATTATTTTTCAGCGTTTGAAATACATTGTTCCAGGATCTTCTCGCTTTCAAAGTCTGTGATGAAAAATCAGTTGTTAACCTAATTGGTTTACCCCTGAATGTAATCTGCCTCCTTTCTCTCGTAGCTTTTAATATTCTCTCCTTGTTTTGTATGTTGGCTATCTTCATAATTATATGT